TTGAAGATAGTACTTGGGATACCATTCCAAATTTGAAAATGGTTCTTGGGTACCATTCCACTTTTTTTGTCATCAATATTGTCAATAAGTATTTTTTTTCACAAGGGTAATACTTAAGAAATTAATGTAAATTAGTTATTAACAATTGATTTTCAGATCGGGTGAACATTTCACCCCTCAAATGAGGCGCGCGACCATCAGGATGCTTTTGATGGAGTTCACGACGATGATAAAATTCAAAGTTTCGATCACCTCACCCAAGTACTTAAAACTTAGGGTCGAACCATTGGGTCTAAACGTCCAGTTCCAATATTGTCAATATTGTTAATAAATACCATTCTCGCTATTGGCCTGCTGGCTCAGCATTTGGTTTCAAATGCTTTAGTCTCCTGGATCTTAGGTTCAAGGGCTGGTAAGAGAATGGAAGAACAGAGGGACCAGGATTAATCTATGCATAATAAGTACTGAATCAATGTTTCTTTGATAAATTTTGATATCAATCAAGATATTATTTTTATTTTTTAATAGTATTTTTGAAGTTTATCATTTTATAATTTGAATTATATTAAATTATAAAATAGTTTTTTGATATTTTAAATAAAAGTAATAGATTTTAGTAATTAATGTTATTTGATTTTATTAAAAAGAAAAAGAAAAAAGCAAATTCAAATACTAGAAGGGGCTTAGGTGATTTTTAATTGAAGAGGAAGGGGCTAAGAGGCTACTTTTTATGGAGCGACGGAGAGCGGATGATGGCCCATTGGCCAATCATCATTTAAGTCCGTAGGGCTGTAAACCTTTACTGTGACATGATGGGTCCCATTCACGTGTGCACATGCGTGTGTGCGTGTGCGCGCCCCCCTTCAATGCTTACGTACACACTCAATCTCATGCGCCCCTACTCACATCACTTACCACACGCGCTTAAATTGCACTGCTACAGTCCTAGACTCCTAGTACTACTACCTGAGTTATCGTGTTCCATCATATGTACGGCTCCTTCCACATTCCATTAAAATATATTCATTTTTTTGTTGGTAAATATTAAAATATATTCATTTAGAATATTTGCCAACAATCATCGCGCAATGGCGACAGTTCAAAAAAGAGTGGGGGTATTTACAAAATTTAAGATTTAAATTTTGGTGATTTTTATTTTCAATTCTTTTATTGTATTAGTTTAAAAAAAAGAATATTTAAAAAAATGTTATATAGTTTAAATTATA